TATAGTAAAAATCCATTAACAGCCAACAGTTTTCTTCTAGGGGGAAGATCAAAGATCACCCACGTGTCATTCTTCTCAAGTACTCTAAATCCATCCCTAACTATTTGTTTCCGATCAAGATCCTTAAGTGCCTCTTGGACATATAAAAATCTGCACATTGTCAATAGTAGATACAAACACTTGGTAGGATGGAGATAATCCGTTACAAGAAATGTTCTTATAGATGAGGTAGTTTGTGCAAGTTCTTATTCATTTTCTTAGAGCAATTGGAATGTTTAAGTCATTCATTCTAGATGCAGTGTCAAGAGCAGAAATTTCCTAACCTGTGTGATCTTGAATGTGAATTGGAAGTGGTTCAGATTCTTAGTCATTAATGAAGACCTACCTTCCTTTCAGTGTTTTTTCTCAATATGTAGACAATCAATTCTTGTCAAGGTTTTGGTTGTCACCCATGACTTACGATGAAGGAGAGTCTTTGTCTACACTTTAATCTCGGGTAGGCCAAGATCGAGTTTATCATCAAGAGATTGAGTTTATTGTTGGTGTTTTGCATGATTAGTGGTTTCAAGTTGTGGTTGGCATAGAGGTGGTTGGAAGTCTTGTATTGAGTTTGATTGAGGTAAAGAAAGTCATATAGGGTCCCTTGAGTGTTGGTCATTCTCCCAAAAATGTTATTTCCTCATGTCCTCCCCCTGAATTCAAGTTTGGGGTAACAGATCTAATTTCAAAAGAAGTCACATCCATTAAAGTGTAGAATTTTCTTCATGGTTAGAGAATAATATTTGTAACCTTTTTGGTTTAGAGAGTAAGCCAGAAATACGCATCTAATGAAATTTTGATCTTATTGGCAATACTGCTGGGTATGCATATGGGCAAATGCGGAGCACCCAAATACTTTTAGGTCCAGTGTAGACATAATCTTGGTATGTGGGAAGACTTTGAGAATGGTATAACATGGAATTTGGAATTGTTAAGTTCTTGAAGGTATTCTTATTAAGAATGATTGATGTTTATTCTATTAAATTTTACAGTTCTATATATATATAGGTTTTTTAGGATATAAAAAGGAAAAAAACCTTAGAAGCAATTGCAGATGCTATCTTAACAATTGCAAATGCTATCACGGTTATTGTTTCTAACAAACCTTGGAAGTAAGTTTGGGGAACAAAATCTGCCTCAAGAATTGCTTTATTTATTTGATGCTTGGAAGGCAGCTTGAGGGAGAATTTGAACCATTCAAAATCTATAGAGGAGTAGAAGTCTGGCAGGGAAAAATATGTCATCATCTTCATACATGAACAACTTCTTATAGAATAATTTAATTGAGAAAGACCCATTAGATGTGAGGCACCACCGCAGAGTATCAATGCTTCCATCCAACGAAATATAGGATAACATGCCCAATAACTCCTCATATTCTCTAATCTCCAAATCGTTGAGATTCCTTGACACAAGACTTTCCATTACTTCTCACCATTACTGTTCTCCGCTAAAGAGTTATAAATCTTGATGTCTTTCTGCTGGACTGTTGCATAAATATGAGGAAAACGCACTCTAAGAGTACCCCCTTCCATCCATTGATCTCTCCCAAATTCTAACTCTATTCCCCCTACCAACCTTCCACCTTATATACTCCTGAAAATTTTCCTTCCCTATATCAATCTTTCTCCACAAGCTTTTCTCATCTGGTCTTGAACTCTCTCTGGTGAGCCACCTTTATCATCCATGTCATATTTTGCTACTATTGTTTTTCTCCATAATGCGTCCTCCTCTGCTATACATCTTCATTACCATTTACCATGCAGAATCTCATTCATCCTCGTTAAAGATCACAATCCCAAGCCACCTAGGTACAATGATTTCTTAATCTTGCTTCATGCCATCAAATAATACCTCTGTCTTTCACCCATGTCACCCCACAAGAACCTGCTTTGTATGGCTTCCAACTACTTTGCTACATTTTTTAGAATGATCATCATAGACATGTAGTAAATAGGAAGATTGCCCAAATTACTCTTGATGAGTGTGAGTCGACCCCCTTTTGACATCAGATTTATCTACCATCAGATTCCACATCCTAACCTCTTTGAAATTAGCACCAAGAGGTAAACCAAAATATTTTATGGGCAAATTCACATATCTACAACTGAAAGCCCTTGCCATTACAATCAATTAAATTGAAGCATAAACTTGTTCAGTGCACCAACCATGGTACTACAAAAAGATTAAAAAAAGAAAAAGATTCTTGACACTTTACCTCTCCAGATTGGAACTTTTCAAGAATGTTATTCATGGTACTTCGTGACATACTCTTCTGCCCAGCGTGGATTCCGACAAGAAAATGACACTTCCAAGACGCTAGAAGCCTGAGGTTTTGCAAAATATTTGACAAGGATATAGCAGTAATTATCCTATTTACAAAAATTATGCACTTCATATTTGGTTGTAACCTGAAAAAAGAGTTAATTATATTTTATTAGAAAACTATACTATATATAAACAATGATTCACAAGAACTAATTGATGGATTAGGGCAGCAAAGATAAGGATGGCAAAAGTTAGATTATAGTCCAAATAGAAGGGACATCAATGAAAATGAGTAATAACAAATGAAAACATGAAGCACGGTTCCTAATCCTAGGTTACCAAGATGCAGTTTCAACATTGGTTCTATAGCTTTGCTTTGCCACATAAACTATTCAACATGGACAAACTAACTTTAGGGACTAGGTGCTGGTAGCTAAGAGGCTGCAGTTGCTCTCAATTTTTACCCTTAACCTTAAAATAGAATTAAATGCAAACATCTTAAAAACATTTCTAAGACTGCCCAACAAAGAGAGAAGTAAAACTTTTCCTTCGTACCTCCAATCCTTTTTAGAGTTTTAAAGGGTTTAGGTTTACATGATATAGTCATCTGTAACAAATATTACAATGAAGATTTAAAGCATTGGAAGTGGGCTACGGCTGGGCCTCTTAAAAATGAGTCATGTGCATGAAAAGAAGTAATGGTAGACAGAGGGGACAATAACTTTGATTCCCATATTTGCCTTCTTGTTCACATAGAAAGAGAGAAATCAACGGAGTATTGAAACAAAAGCTATCCCTTTCTGTAGCATTTGAAACATTTGGTTCCAAAGCCTTAGGCAACGTTTGGATAAATATTATTTAAAGGAAACAGAGGAAAAGAAACATTTTTCCTGGTTTTAATCATTAAAATTTGAGAAATAAAATGAAATGAAATGATTGTTGTAATCACCTGTTTGATTTCGGTGCATAAAGAAAGAAAGAGGCATGTTCACCTTTCTTTTATGGTCATTAAGTTTGCTGAATAAAGGTGTCATAGGGTTAGAATGTAAAAGTGATCACACTGAGGATATTATCACTAGTTTAATTAACTGAATCATAATTCTACAGAAATTGTTATAGTAAGAAACCTTGTATCAGAATTCAAGAATAAGGAGTTAACTGACGAGTATCTCGTAATAAGACTTTTTATTTTCAGTTAACAATACTCCCACTTTGTATAATAAAATATATAATACCTGTCTACAAATAATCCCAAAAAGAAACCTCATTAAAATACCATCAGCCCCTTTTTCTTTCACGATAACATTTTCTTATTTCATTATTTCATAAAATATTGTTTTTACTTTTACATGATACATTATAACAATGTTTTATCAACATTTGAACCTCTCGGTGAACTTTTATTAGTCAACATAATTTACGAGGTAGAAGTTGGTGTAGAAAGTGCATTAAAATATATTTCAGACCAAATATAACACAGCATTTTCATAGTAAAGTATAACTTTTTTAATTATATCTAACCTCATATATTACGAACAAAACACAGTAATAAGATTTTAATAAATTATTGTTAGTCGTGAACCAAACAACATAATATAATTGTACTTGCATTACTGTCTTATTTTATTCCTACTAAATAGTTATTTCGTTACAACTTTAAACTATGCAGAAGCCTACAATTATATTACAACTTCTCTAATAAACTTTAATTAAATTAAACAAATTATTCTTTAAATAGGTAAAAACTTTTCTACAACTAACAGTGCCATAAGTTCTTTTATGTTAAAAAAAAAACAGCAGCTTGAGACGCAAATAGTAAAAAGTTGCACAGGTTTAACCCAAACAATTGGTAACATGGTAGATAGATGAACAAGTTATCTACAATTAGACAGGATTAAGGAATCACATAATGAACAAGCAACTTTAGAAGCCCAAATACCCACCTGCAGGAGGTAAGAATTCCAATTAGTCGTAAAAGCTTTCTTGAGAAAAATGGCTCCTTTAAAACTTCTACAGAAGACAAATCAAATGAGAACCCACCTACATAAATAGCAAAAACCAGATCTGTATAAGTAACATGGAGACTCAAATTGAATTATTGAAGTTCTTACTGAAAGATTTGCAGTAAGTTTACTTCTCTTAGAATATCTAAGTTGGATTGTTTCCAGCAACTTTAAGCTTTTAAGATAATTGTTCATCTAACTAATTCTGTAATAAACAGGAGAGCTCAGATCATCATTTAAACTGTAAAAAACTCCTTTCCCACCATCCTTCCTCTTTTTTGGTGAAGACCCCAGTATCGTCTTTTATGGGTACATGGTCTGGGATTTGAACCCCTCAACCTCACATTTGGTGAGGTTAGGAAATAGCAACGAGCCAGAAGCTCATTTGTAACCCTATTTACTTAAACAATAGCTCATAAAAGTAAATACTTATCATCCATGATCAAGTTTAATGTGTTTATGTCATAAGCTGAGCATCCCACTAACAGGTAAGAAGGCATATTACAATCTAAATAATAAACTTAGACTCACTTTTTAGGCCTAAACTTTGGACAACTCCATAATGCAATCAGTTATTTAGTAACTAAAATAGAATGAATTACCAGGTAACTCTATCAAATACAGTAAGCTGAATTTGTAAATGGGGAATTTTGATATGAGGTTTTCCATCAAACAAGAATCTAAAAAAAACTTCACTTCTATTCCACAGTACTTGGTAAAGAAATGGTAAATTATGTGTTTAAAAAAAAAGTAAAAATTTTTTGAAAGGGTACAGAGTAAATTACATAATTTGTAATTAATTATTATTTATTGTCTACTTCCTTTTTCATTCTAGAATCTCAATATATATAGAGTTATCATATTCAATAGAACACACAAAAAACTATTTTTGACATAGTATTAGAGTTCTAGGTTAAAGAAACCTTAACTGTTTTGCAAACCCTGATCGCTTTATTGTCGAAATAAGAAAAAAAACAAATAAAACACCCTAATTCATGAATTAAAGACCACTTGAGGGACACATTGATTCTGCACGAATGGTAAGGTTTTAATATGACCATGTACATGTAACAATCCTCTACATAGAGACAAGATACGCTTCTTAAGAAAAAAAGATAGAGACAATAGAAACTGCAATTACGAATTTTCCAGACATCATACCTGCCATGCAATCAGAAGCAAATGCTTCTGCAACTTGAGCAAGATATCTATCAGATAACGAGTCATCAACGAAATTTCCATCCCCTTCTATTAGTTCCTTTCTTTCACAGTAATCCCCAGTCAAAAGAAGTCTACTAGCCTGTAACCTCAAGAGAACCAAAACAATAAACAAAAACATCCCAGTAATCCAGACTAACATACATCCAATAGCATGTGGAACTCAGATGAAACCAATTGATTGGAAGTTGTATTCTTCCCAGACCACCATTAAGGATTAATCAACCAATAATGACCTATATTTGTAATTTCAGAAGTTCCTTAATTTAGAACATCCAAGCAATACCTAGCCAATAAAGTTAGATATACTTTCAAGTGGTGTTTAGATGAGACCGACTGACAGCAAGATAGACCTCAACAAACAGAAAATTCATAATTATCTTTCAAACCACCAGTAGCTATTGTTAAAGAATCACAGCTTTTTGATCCCTATTTCTGACTAAAACAACAAAAAGTAAAACAATATCACTGTATATAAAATGATAGCAGCCCCTTAGTAAGCCAGGTAAAGCAAAAGCTAGATTATGTGGAACAATGGAAGAAACATTATTGAAAGACACTGATTTAGAATAAAAAAGGAAACCTTAAAACTAATTATACATGAGTATTTTACTCATACACCTTTACATACTAAATTACAAATATATACACTACTTCTAACAGATTATATATCACATTAGCCTAGTTCTTTAGAACAATTCTAGAAGTATTAGAAAAAGGCAAATTACCAAAACATGATTTAGATTTGTATCTTTCTTAAAACAAACATGACTGCATTTTGATATTATACAAAATATGATTTTTATAATGTAATTTTAAAATGTGACTTCTTTTATTCACATTTTGATATTACTTTATAAAATGTTGCTATTCTAGAATTTACTTTCATACAAGCTAAACATATTAAAATTTTTTCGAAATACCAAATGTACCCTTTCTATTTTTCTTTTATAAAAGAGTAGCTTTATTAAGGAGGAGAAGAAAAAAAGTGAAGTTAGAGTATATTTTGTATGATTAGGTAAAGGGTATACTAGTAAAATATCAGCAAACAGCTACAAAATTGCCCCGTATAGGCCCAGGACAGGTCCACTTGAAAATCAATACTAAGAGCGTGCCTTGAGTCCCTAGAAAATCCTACAGATGCAAGTTCATTTGCTCAGGTAAGTTTCTTTTTCACATGGTTTAAATGTTTCGAGCAGACATTTTTCATTGTCATGAATTATAGATTCGGAAACTATGGATCACATATCAAATTCATCTCACTACTGTGGCATCCTCACATGTAGCTACGAAGGAGAACACCAAGGAGAAAGGGCAAAGGCCCCACCTAACTTCAAGCATCCAAGCAAAACCTTACCATTCTGCAGAATCAATTCAATCCGATGCAACTATAGAACTTGGCCAGCCAGAACTAATTTTCTTCCGCAGACTCATGCCATGTGAAGCTCTGGACTACTTGGCCTCCAACCCCTTATCTCAATCCCAAACTTGGCCCTAAGCATCTTGCACCATAGGCTACCCTCATCATTCATGAATCTGCAGCCACTTTCTATCCTTGAAAAGATCTTTGTTCAATCTAAAAAGAGATCAAATGTCAAGCCAGCCCCTTTGAAAGGATAGCTTAACAAAGTCTCAAGTTACAAAGTGGGACCTCCTCTGCTCCTCAGTATCACTCCAGAAAAAAAAAAACAAAAAAAAAAGCAATATTGCAGAGCCTCCAAATATTTTGCTACACTAGTTGACATTGTAAACAAGGACAAGTAGTAGATAGGCAGGTTGGATAAATTACTTGTAATAAGAGTGATCTTTCCATATTTAAAAAGAAAGCCCTCTTCCAACTTGTCAATCTCTTCTCAGATCTAGACACCAAATCTCCCTCATGACTAGGTCTTTTAACTTTTTCCTTACCCTAATCAGCAACCGTAAGTACTTCAAAGGAAGAGTAGTCACCCTAAAGCCCAAGATGCCAGCAAAAGCCTCCATATTCTGCCCCTCTCCAAGAAGCACAATTCATTTTTTTCGACAGGAAAAGAAGCACCATTAGGAAGAGAAAGAAAGGAAAATACACCTAATGATAATTGGTGGGAGTTTGAACCCGCACCTTTCAAGGGGAGATCAATTCCAGTCATCAAGGAACTAAAGTGGGGTAGCAATAATTCAAACACAAGTTATGTTCCGCATGATGTATATTGAGATTAACAAGAAATTTCAGGCTAGTGATTGACTAGAAATTGAATGAGAACTAGACTAATTTCAAACTAAGCTTTTATTGCCGCATCATTCTAATATCAATGAAGAGGACTATAAGAACCTCATAAACTTTTTGGTTACCCATGTCTTGATAAATGCGCATGGGTGACACCTTTGTGCATTTTAGTTATGCTTCCTTTTTTCTTCTCAAGGAAAACAACAAAGACTATTTTATTCTTTTTGAAAGGTATAAGAACCAAAAAAATTCAGAAACAAACAAAAAGAAAGACAATTATTAGAACTGAATTTCTGAACAGTTGGTCAAGGAGCTTACTTCCAATACCCCCCAAAGGCCAAGACTTTCAAAACAAAATACCATATTGGCATGCACCCTGATTAGCATCTTTTTCATGTTCCGAATATTTTGCGGATCATCTGTCTTCCTGTTAAGTGTTGATAAGCACTGCTCATGTCATAAACAGAAAAGCAAGTAAAAACTTGTTCCAGTGACAGAAAAGTTCAGATAGAATTACTACAACAATAACATACCTGGCGTTTAATCTCCTCGAGTTTACTGTAATAAGTCATGTAGGAGATAGAAGTGTCATTTGCTGATGGACCATAATGGTATATTCTAACAACAGGAGATGCTACAAAACTTTCCAATTCTTCCCTATTCTCAACGGAATAAACCTACAAATTATAATGAAAAATATTACAAGTTGCATTCAGGTAAGATGACTATTTATGTTAATGCCGCACTAGCCATCATAAAATTCAGTTCTGGCAAATATTCTACACATGGACCTTTTTATAAAAAAAAAAAATAGAATGGTATTATTCACATGTACCAAAGGGATATAAACTTCTATATAATGATATTTACGTATCGATCAAAATGTTTATAAGGTTCCCAAAGTCCTCGAACAAATAGAGAATGATGACTCATAATCCAAAGACTTAAAGTTTAGAACCATCTATCCTTTACTCTATCAAAATCATCTTCCACACTGTGACAATCTTTAGTGTCTACACATACGATTTGCGTTATTTGCTTACTTATTGATTAATACACACGTTGAGGTGTTTTCCTGGTGAAGCTTATATGTCTGATAGGTTACAAATATTATTTAGAATTAGTTCTTGGTTGTTTGACAAAAAAATAAGAGTATATGTCACACCTTGTGGCTAGGTATCATTTTCTAGATAAGTTTGTGGTACCTCGTGGTTAAGTGTCATTTTATGAACAAGTTTGTAATACCTCGTGATTAGGTGTCATTTTCTGAAAAAATTGACAAAACCCCGTAGCAGACCGCAAGAGACTCAAGACTATCAAAACCACCTAAACTGACCATCTCATATTATTTAAGCTTATTTCTAGGCCATAAACAACTTCAAAACGCAGCATAAAAAACTAAATCCCAGGATCACCCCTCTTCTGATTTACAAAAAATCAACGTATCATCCGTAAAAAAACATATAAGAGACTTCAGCTTCTTGGTTTCTTCTTCCCACCCACACTCCTCTCATGAGATCCAATTACTTCACTCTAGCAATCCTTTTATTCAGGGCTTCCATCACAGTAATGAAGCGTAAAAGTAACAAAGGGTCACCTTGTCTTAAACTCCTAGATGGCTTGAAGGACTAGGAAGGGCTTCCATTGATCATCACAGTAAAGGAGGTCGTAGATATGCACATCCGAATCCATTTTCTCGACCTCCAACCAAAACCAAGTCTCCTCAACATAGAATCCACAAAGTCCCAACTCACAAGATCGTATGTTTTTTCCATGTCCAGTTTACACAGAATCTTCTCCCTTCGTCACTTATCAAATTGTTCACAACTTCATCGGCCACCATCACCACATTAATAATTTGTCTCCCTTCCATAAAAGTATGCTGACTTTCTCTAATAATCGACTTTAGAATACTAGACAATCTTTTTGAGATGATCTTTGAAATTAGTTTGTAAATGTAGCCGACTAAACTTATAGGTCTGAAATCTTTTATTTTTTTACCCCCTTCTTTTTTTGCAATAAAGACCAAAAAACTGGAACTTAGGGACCTCACAAAAGACCCTGACTTGTGAAACTCTCTACACACAGCAACGAGATCATTCTTAACCACATGTCAAAATTCATGCACAAACCTCATGCTAAAACCATCAAGACCTAGGCTCTTGTCACCTTTACAATCAATGAGAGCCTCTTTAATCTCTTCTTCTGTGAATTCTTTCTCAACACCAGATCTGACATCCTCATCAATCATCTCAAACTACAGGCTATCAAGTCTTGGTATTCCACCAAAATCATCACAATACATCTTAGAAAAGAAAATACAGCCTTCTTCTCTCATGTCTCTGTTACTCTTGATATTATAATTGCCCACAGTTAATTCTTCGACATAATTACATTTCTTCTCGTGGTAGCTAAGCAGTGGAAGTGTCTGGTGTTTCTGTCCCATTCAGTATGTTATTCATAACCAAAGTAGATTTTCCACTCTCTTCTAAACCCCATCCATCAGCACTAATCCAATATTCGCTATTGCTACCTTCCACCTCCAAATTATCCGTATATCCCTAGTCAGATTCCACCAGAACCAAAGCCATTAATTTCCTTCCTAATTTTCTCTACCTTCTTCCTTGTTTTTTCTTCCCTCCAACAATGCCTGCAGACACTCACACTCCTTCACCATATCACTGTTATCCCCACACTTTCCTTCATCTTCCCCACCCTCTTCGGTTACAGAAATGCCACCTAAAGCTTCCAAATCCTCCTCTGCCGCGATTTTTCTTCTTCCCTTCTCCCTTGATCTCCCCCTACGCCATCAACTTCATCTCTCATCTTCAGAGTCAGTCTCCAGCCAATTCAATTTTTTTTTTCGCCATACCAATCTAATTTTAGGTTTGTTGGGTTGTCCTTTTGTTTGAGCTCGATCCAAACCAGTCAACCCACTTCCCCTTTTTGGCCCAGCTAAATTGTTTTTGAGTTCTCAACTCATCTGCTTTCAATCTGTTGAGTTTCAAGCTCATATTAGTGGAATGTCCAAAACGACCCTATGTAAGTGCATTTTGGATATAAGGGTATTGGCGAGCAATTCGATTTTCAAAAAATGACTGACCACACCTCCAAGTCATATCCTACCCGCCTCACCTCTTTTCTATTCTATAACAGCACCGTCGTGTTGTAACCCATAGCCTCCACCGTGACTCCAAACTTCGCTTGACGGTACGGACAGTGGAAAATCTCCTTCCAGCTGCTATTCCACACTTTTTTTCTTACTTCTCATCCTTATAGCCCATCGTCATCTTCCCCTTCCGATCCAGGTTCACAATCGCGCGTTCTGTAGTACATATACAGCCTTCCTGACCTGTCACCATCCACTCGCTTCAGTCCGTCTGGGATGAATATCTGCTTCACCTCATTTCCCTTTTCCTCTGTCAGGACCAAATACCTTCCACTTCTGTTCCACCTCATAGCAAGCCACAGGTCATGCATCTTCCTCGGCCACTTCTTCCCCAATGTGTTGCCACCCCCACAACAGTAAAGATCTCCTAGAACTTCAACCAACCACTCCACCTCTTCTTTTTCCAAAGAAATAGACACGCGAAAGCCTCTGTAATGCTCACTTATTCTCATACCTTTCATGTTTTTGCCTTCACTTACAAAATCAAAACTTTTCGTTTCAATCATCACAAACTTCTTCCCTTCCGCCATCACTACCTCCTCCTTGACCTACCCCCTCTCCTTTCCTTCACCTCCCTTCCTCGCCTTCCATATCAAACTCCCCTCCTCGTCGATCTTCCCCTACTGCAGATACCAAATGCCAGTCCTTTTTTTCCTTACTGATTTCTCTCTCTAGTTTCTCTGCCTAGTTTCTGACAAGGGTTGTGCATTACAATGACGAATACGCAAGAGATAATATATGGGGTAAGATCAATCATGATAATATCAGAAATTTCATGGACATAAGAGTAGAACTCCCACAAACATATCTAGAAAGGATTTTGTTCATTTGTGTACATCATTATTATGGGGGGAGCCCGTTTGTGCGTATCTATATTATGAAAGGAACCTGTTGTGCTCAT